CTCCCTTCCCTGCTGCTTTCCTGGGAAGTCAGTTTCTCAAAAAAACATGCCCCCACCACATGCCCATTTGTTTTGTGAGGCTGAACCAGTTCAGACCCAGGAGGCTTTTCTAGAGGTGCACAGCAGTGTTGCTGAAAGTGCTTCAGAAACTGTCATTCAAAAAATAATTCTTTGATGAGCAGGACAGCATCTACTAAACTTGAATGCCACCTTCTTTGACCCTTCTTAAGAAGAAGTAGCTGGTTTTGTAAAAACAAGGTCATGAGATGGTCGGTTTGCAGCTGAAGAGATTTTACAGCACAGTGTACATTGCTATCAGTAGGTCATGAAAATGCTTTCCTGTACTGTCCATGAAAGAAAATCTAATTCCACTTATACTATTTTTCTTCTTTGGGTGCTGTTACTTATTTTCCTCTCTCCATCTTCTTTTATTGTCATGCCCACAGTGGAGGAAAATGGGCTCTTTTTATCTCTCTGGTTTTATTCTCTGCAGAAGCTAACAGCACTGTCTTCAACTGACAAAGGTATTTACCAAGCAGAATAAAGTGAGGAAAACAAGAGCTGTGTTGCAAAATGAGGGCAGAGTCTTGCCTGCTGAACCAACTGCTGAAATCAGCGTGAAGGTTTTCCTGCTTTTACTAGGTGCAGATCAGACATGGGGGATGCTGCCTTTCTCCCAGCCTACCCTCTTGGTGGCCATGGACTTCCCAGGGTGAATTCTGACCTAAGAGTCAGACCAGGCTCTGCTCCCATCTCTGCCTTTGCTCCTCTGGTTGAAATCTGGCAAGCATTCCCCATCATGGTCTCCCTATCTGTGTAGTGAAAAAATGAAACAACAAAAACTTCTTGAACTCAATAGCTGAAAGCAGATTAGACAAAGCCGTGCAAACCCTCAAAATCTGGCTCTGTGAAGTTCCAGTGTATTCTCTATGTTCTGTCAGTTTCCAAGCACAGCTCCAGCAGAGTAAAATACAGTAATTTATTGACATGTTTATAAACTGATAGCTTTATATGCATTAAACAGGGAACAAAATCTGTGCTCATCTTTCTAGCACTGCAGGCTGATGCATTGGTGTCTTAATAGAGTGTCTACTTCTGCAGCATACTCCTCACCTGAGTCCTGTTTCTAACACCTGTTACTCTGGCTACCTTATAAATGATGAGTAGGATCAATTCTCACACTGTAGGGCATAGGCTGGTAACCATCCTGAGTGCAAAAGAAATCCAATCTTCGTTCCTTTCTATTCTCAAGCAGCAAAGTACAATGGAGAGGGAGTGATGGGGTAATTTACACTTTGAAGTAGCCAGTAAACCTGTTAAACACCAACAGACATGGGCACAAACAGCAATGTACTGGTCTGCTGAACAGTTTAGGTAGTAGATGGTCTCTGAAGAGTTCACTTCTGACAAAGAGTCCCTCAGCATGGCTTTGAGGTTGGAAAAACAGAGTGGTCTGCTCAGGCAGTATAACGTTTGCACTTAGAACTACACAGCCAGCAATTTTTTTACCTGACCACAGACTTCTGGGGGGGCTACAACTTTGTTTTTTGAACAGATGTAGCCAACCCTGAATCTTGCAAAGCACTTGCACTCAGCAACCCCTTCTCTGGTTTGGAAGACAGAGTATGCATTTTACTGTATGAGTTGCTATGTTCAGTGTATGCAACAGATAACACCTAAAATGTGAAGTATAGGGTACCACAGGCTGTTTTCACCTTGACTCATTTTGGAGCAATCTGAGGACACAAAGCCAATGCAAAATGTGATGCACAGCACCAACAAGAGCTGCTGTTCTGCTTTAGTTTCAAGATGAGGGCACAGCCACAGGACAGCACGCACATGGAAAACAGCATTCATAGTAAGTTTCGCCTAACTTTTTATTCCAGTTCAGTTAAGCTCTCCATCCTCCCTCCTGGCTGCCTGGCAGGCAGGATGATGATGTGAGAAGGGGGTAAAGACAGACCTCCCATTTATTCCTGCTTTCTGAAGGGCAGACAGAATTGTTCACACTCCCACGCCAAAAACTACTTAGCATGGTTGGGCAAACAGCAAAGGGGTGAGTGCATGCAAATCAGCAGTTGGTTCCCAAACATCCAAGGACAGATGCATCATCACTGGCAGCATGAGGGAAGCCAGCTCATGTCTGTAGCTACTGTGAGTCTTTAGTGGGAAAATGATGCTGGAGAAGTTCAGAACACTTATATGTTTCCTACCAAGTAACTCTTTAGGAACTGATGCTTCCTTTCTTTGTTATTAACAAAAA